ATCCGTGGCAATCTTTCATTATAACCCCCCACACCAAACCAATATGCACCCCCAAACGGAAACTTTGGAATACCACCCCGCGTGGGGGGTCAGATTGGAACGGATTACGGGAAACGGGGGTCATATTGAAATAATGAGGGGCTTATTTGAAATCTTAAAAATTTCTAGGTGGTCTTGTTTTCAAGGTATACGCCGATTTAGGGTGCTTATTTTTATTTGGAATCTTCAACATTTCTACCCGTTTTTGCCTAAGCCTATTTTTTTGTTGGGGACTGGCATTAAATAATTATTTCTCTAGTAGAATGACAAAAAATGTACGGTAATATAAACCAGAAATCAGGAAAAATTGAGAGAAAAGTAGAAAAAACGCGGAAATAAAGAAAACTAACAAAAAACCGGTGCAAAATCGATAAATAACAAATATTTTTCTATGCGTAATTTGGCTGCGTACGTTTGATCTTCAGGCAAAAAATCAGGAAAAACATTTTTTGAACCCCCCCCCCCACCCACCTTATGAAAGATGGTGGGTGGGGGTGTATTCCAAGATTTATGCCAGGGGTGTTATATTGGAATGTTTCGGGGGCTATACTGGAAAATATTCAAAGAAACTTCCAGTTTTCTGACATTTCTGCATTTTCGGACTTTCGGATATTCTGAATATTTGAATATATGGAAATCTTCCCTTTTTTTAAATATTTTTTCCTATATTTTTGATTTTGCTGTATTTCTAGAAAATCCAGAAACCATAAATTCGAAAACAAATAATTTAATTTTCAAAAAAATTCTAAAATTCAAAACTTTTTAATTACAATTTTGAAAATTTCGAAATCTTATCGAGCCATCTGACATTTGATAAACGATAGCGGATGAAATTGTGCTGAAGGATCATAAGTTTTCAGCAAGAAAAGGTTTTTTATTTTGAAAATTTTCGAAAATAACATTTTTTTTTTCAATTTTTTACCTAAAAATCGTTCCAGGCTCCCATGTGACAGTTTTTGCAGTTTTTTTCTTGTTATATTCTGTTTTTAATCGATGTTCGACATAAAATACCAGTATAATGGTATCCACGTATTTTTCGCTGCCTTGTCCGCAGTTGCGCGTCGCGCTGTTTGCGGACCTGGTCGTTGATAACTTTAGCGGTTTTTCGAATTTCGCACGCGAATATTCTAGTTTTGAAGAATTCGAGCTGTTTTTTTTTCAAATTGCGACCTAAATAAGATATTTTCCACCTCAAATTGTTCACTTCGCTAGCCTCATTTTCAAAAAAATCCGTTTTCGGATGCTCGAAAAATCGAATTTTTACGAAATTTCCATTTTTTCGCTTCAAATTTTGAATTTTCAGAATTTCTCTTATTAATATACGAATCCAAAAAAATCTTTAAAAAAATTTTTTCAGAGAAAATTCTCAAAAATTGAGTAATTCAATTGCAAGCGGCTCATCGTCATCGTCCCCAAACGCCTCCTCGACGTCTTCAAACGACGAAGATGCTATGAAAGAAAGTGAGTGTCGGTTCTAGAACGGTTCAGTCAATTTTGAGAAAACGACTTGAAATGGATGGAAATTAGCTAGAAATAGTATTAAAAATACGGAAAACCAGCCCGAAAACACAGAAAATCGGCAAAAAATTGTCGAAAAATAGCCCGAAACGCTGTACAATGAGCCGATATTTGACAAAATTCGTACGAAATCGGTAATTCAAAATAGCTGTAAAATTAGTGAAAGAAAAGCTCTGAATGACCTGAACAATCGTTAAAAACTGTCATGTTTGAATTTGGCGCCGAAAAATTGCCTAAAAATTAGTGTAATATTGAACAAATTTGACGATTTGATCTCTCACTGAAAAAACTGGAAATTCGACTGAAGCGACGAAGAAAGCTAATTAATTGAATTATTGCTTGATTATAACTTGTTTTTATTTCGAATTTCTGTTTGTGAGCCTTTCCGAAGACGAAAATAATACGGAGACTGCGAAACATCTGAAAATCGACACCGTCGTCGCTCTACTTAGATGAGCCTCTGAAATTACGGAATACTGTATTCCGGATACCATTTTTTGGCATCATAGCGCCTTTCTTACATGGAAATTTTTCCGGATTTTTACGGTGTTCATGTCCGGCAGGTAAAAAACGTAAAAAACCACTGTCGGCCACTTGAAAAAACGGTTGTCAGGCGCTGTGGCCTAGGTTTCTCACTGCGCGGGAATTCAAATCCTCGTCCCTCCTAGCAACTTTTTTTTGAAAATTTTTCGCTTTTAACGGCATTTTTCGGGGATGTTGGAAAAAACTGGCCGAAAATAACCCAACCCTAGCGGAAAAAGACTGCAAAACAAGCGAGAAAGGCTAGAAATAGTCGAAAAATCGGCTAGAAAAGAGTCAGGAAATAGTTAAATAGTTTTAAAAGGCTGAAAATGACTCAAAATTCCGTAGAAATAATAGAAAAAAACCCTTGAAAAACAAAAAATTTCAGAAAAAAAATAGTGAAAATGGCTGAAAATGACTCAAAAAACCTTAAGAATGACTGAAAAATTGACTTAAAATAGGTCTAAAATACGCTAAAAATCACGGCTAAAAATTTAGAAAATAAACCTTTTAAACCTAGAAAATCGACCGAAAAAGAAGCAAATTCATTTTCATAAGTTTTTTATTTCCAGAATTCGCCGACGTCTTGGGATGCTGAAATCAACCTGGAAATCCATTCAATCTCTCCACAAAGTGCTGCTGAAAAATCTGAAAATTCGACAGAAGCGACGAAGAGATATAATTATTTAATTTACTGCTCAATTATAATTTGTTTCTATTTCAAATTTCTGTGTAGCTGAAATCACAATAAACTTATATTTTTTCTTTAATTTTAAGGAATTTTTCTCAATTTTTCGGGTATTTTTCACCCGATTCTCATTTTTAACGAATATTTAGCTCTATTTTCTAAAATTTTAAATTTTTTTAGAATGAAGAAAAATTCTAAATCCAGAAAAGACGAAGATTTGGATATGGATTTGATACCAGAAACAGGACTTTATACAGTAGACGGATATCTTTTTTATCACACAACATCAAAAAGATTGACGAAAGCTCAAGTTCAAAGAGTTGAAGGAAATGGTAAGAAATTTTAGCCTAAATAATAGAAAATTTCAGTCATTTTCCAATTTTTTTTTCGAAAACTTGAATGAAAAATGTATTTGAAATTTACTAAATTTTGGAAAAAAAATCAACATTTTGAGTTTTGTTGTTAAAAATATTTTAAAAATTGGGAAATTTTTAGTGTGTTTGCTATTGACCTACAGGACTCTAGTCGGTCCGTCTGGTCATTTTACTTTTTTTTTTGTACAGGTCCCATTTCTTGCCAAATTATCTATCGATTTCCCCCCATGCATTGCAAATAAATATATTATTATTATTATTATTTTAAAGAAATTCCGAAACCTTTTTTCGAGTATTTCATCCGTTTTTAACAAAATGTAAAAATACAATTTTCTGAAATATTGCAAAAAAAGTCAGAATAGAATCGAATTAAAATAAAATTGCGTTTCTAGGAATCAATATTCAATCAGCCAGAAACTTCTCCCTCAACGAATCGGTGCAACTTTTCAAAAATTGGAAAAAGTATTGCGACGAAAACAATATTCCGGTTTTAAAAGCGTTGGAATACATGAAATCGAGAGACGCCCATTTTTTGAAACATCAAGAAGAAAGGAATTTTTGGGTGAAATTATGTAAGTTTTCAAGTTTTGTGAAACGAAAATTTAAAACAAATTTTAACCCCTCCGAAGCTTTCCAGGCCACGGACTACCGCATCGATCTGGCTACTGTATCAAAACGCGAGCAATAAAAATGATGACAGACAATTATCTGAAGACTTTCGATTGGGAAGCTTCTGATTACGCCGTACAAATTCAGCAACGTTTTTACAAAGTTTCGGCTCTCGGCGGAAAATCGCTGGAGAAAACTCAAAAACTGCTGGAGAGAGGTTACGGTGCTTCGCACATCGCTGAGGTTTTGAAAATTTCGGTGTCGAAAGCAACAAATATAACAGCGAAGTTAAGACTTGAGGAGAGAAGAGAAGATGGAGAAATGCTGAAAAATTTCTTCGGTAAGGAAAAATTTCTTCGGTTTCTTCGGTATTTTCGGAAATGAGAAAATAATAATATATTTCATCTGAAAACCTGAAAATTTTTGAGCAAAAATAATCGAAACTTCTCAATAAAAATTTCCAGAATCTTGTCTCTCGCTCGGTCTGGATGTCAAGGAAATCAAAAAATTCGTTTTGGGCGACAACGAATTCAAATTGTACGGTCTCGAAGAAAATGTCAAACTCGATGAACTCTGCTTTCGGATGAAGCTTCCAGTCAAACGATGCAAGGAGTTGCTGAAAATGGTGCTGAAAACTATTTTGGATAAATTTCAAAAATCACTAAATACGGATAAACTGGAGGCGGAGCTTGCGTGGAAATTGGCTATTGGAGAGGTAATTATTTTTATTTTTCAAGAATTTGCGTACTATTTTGTTTCTCCGCTTCGAGATATCCATTCATACACTTCGCATACACTTCTCTCTAACCGGAATAATATTTACATTGGAAAAAATTGAAGACAAATTTCTAAACATTCGATTTCCAGATTTCCACTACAAAACCACCAATAGAAGAGCACCAAATATTCAAAGCATTGGAAGTTTTTTGCCAACAAATTGAGCGAGACGATACGGCAACGTCCATGAAAGCAGCAAGAAAAGGAGAGAAGAAGTGAGGATTTTCAGATTATTGATTTTTCTATTTTGAAAAGTATTTCAGTTTGAAGACCGAAGGAATCACTGGATTTCAATGTGATCAGTCTTCTGAATACCAGCTCATTCACACCAAAATTTTCTACGAAATGATGATGTCGTAAGCAGTTTTTTCCTTTCGTTAGAAAATTTTTTAAAAATCGGACTATTTTCAGAATTTTTAAATTTTTTTAAAACTTTCGGACCACAATTTTTCAAAAATTTTGAAAAATTTCAAAAGTTAATTTTATTCAAAATTGTTTTTTCAACTTTTTCAGTTTGGAACAAAAATTCTTCAAAGATCTTCGCCATGAAAACCGATGTCAGCTCAAGCTACACTGCCTGCTTTGGGCATGGAAACGACTTGAGGTTTGGGAGAAGATCCACGTGGCGAAAGGTGAGATTTTTTCGAAAAGAAAGTTCTGGAAATCATTGAAATTAATGTAATCCAGTAATCATTTACAGTAATCCCTAAATTCAAAAACTACAGTAATCCTTGAAATCCTAAAATTTTAAAATTCAAAAAATTCGAAATTTTCTAAAAGTACGGAAATTTTTAAAATTTAAAAAACTACAGTAATTATTGAAATTCCGAAAGTTCGAAAATCAAAATTTCGACATCTAAAAAACTACAGTAATCCTTCATATTCAAAAACTACAGTACTCTATGAATTTCCAACGAATGTTTTTAAAATTGTCTTTTAAAAATTCCAAAAAAAAATTCCAGACAAAAATCGATACGAAGCCGTTCTGGAATTCGAGTTGGCAAATCCATTGGCGAGTGATTTAACAAAGAACTTTCTCAAAAACAAAAAGTGTGTCAATGGATCATGGTAAGAAGATTCATAAATAATTGAAAGTTCTGAAAAAAAATTGGAAAAAAAAATCTTTAATTTTTCTCATGAAAGTTTTTAAATCATCATCATTGATCATTTTTCATGAAAAAATATTGATTTTTTCTTTTGATTCAAAAAAAAATACAGTAACCTTTGAAATAAAGACATTTACAGTAATCCTTAAATCTCAAATTTCTCATTTTCAGGAATCCCGCATAACAACCATCAAACACCCCATCAAGCCACGTCATCTTCTGAAATCCGCCATCGAAGCCTACATCCTCTACAAGGACCGAAAATCCAGCGGAAATTTCAAATTTCCCGCCAAACTCCACCCGCTCATCGCCACCACGCCTTCAGGCATCATTCAGGAGACGTTATCAAAAATTTTGGATCCAGAAAATTCTGAATATTTATCACTGAAGAAGGCAAAAAAGAGAGTGGAAAACGCGTCGGGAATGAAGATTCTAGTGGAATTGACGTCGAATCAGAAGGCGATTCAGATGAAGGATTCTGAAGACGTGGAGGATTCAGAAGACGAAGAAGACGTTGACATCGAACGTCTTCTAAAATATTCTAGAAAAATTTCACGTGAAATAGACGAAAAGAGGAAAATAGAAATGGATGAGATACTGGAAAAAGCAGATCCCGAGAAAATTTGGTTAAAAATGTCTGAAAATTCGGAAAACTTGGAGATGAACGAAGACATGATGAAGAAGAAGACGTCGCTGAAGAAAATCGCCAAAAAGCAGAAGAAAAATGTGAGAAATCGATCGAAAAAATTGGTGGAGGCGTCAGATGATTCAGATCAAGATGGCGTGATCTGTTTAGAAGACACTTCAGAAGACGTGAAGAATAAAGATCCCGCGAAGTCCAAAAATAAAAAAAGGAAGGATCCAGAAGAGTTCCCAGAAGACATTTCAAATTCTGAATCCAAAAAATCTGAAAAAAGAAAACGTCGAAGTACAAAAGACGTGACGGATTCTGAATCCAAATTTACTAAAACGAAGAAGAAGAAGAAGACTTCTGATGACGTGCCAACTTCGGAAGACTTTCCGGGAGACGTGGCGGATTCTGAATGTGAAAAGTGGATAAAAGAGGAGTCAGTTGACGTGGCGGATTCTGAATGGACGAAAGTGACAAAAAAGAAGAAGGAGAATTCTGAAGACGTGCCAACTTCAGGAGACTTTCCAGACGTTGAGAATTCTGAATGTGAAAAATGGAAGAACGGGGATCCAGATGACGTGGCGGGTTCTGAATGGAAGGAGGCGACAAGAAAGAAACCGGAGAACTCTGAAGACGTAACCAAAACAGAGGACGTGAATGATCCAGAAGACAATTCAGAAGACATGGAAGTTGCAAAATCGGCAAAGTCAAAAAAGAAGAAAAAGAAGGATTCAGGTGACGTGAAGTCGGCGAAGAAAACTCCAGAAGCTTCCTCAGAAGACGTGGTGGATGCTGAATTAGCGAATTTGAAAAGAAAGAAGAAGAATTCTGACGACGTGGCAGAAGACATTCCAGAAGATGTGGGGGATTCAGAATTCAGGAAGTCCAAAAAACGAAAACGCCGAAGTTCAGAAGACGTTACCGTGACAAAGACGGATGAAATAAATTTAGTGAGTTTACTAATTTTAATTTATCACTCTCAAAAAATCGGATTTGCATCAATCACGGCGGTAAAAGCAGACACATGAATTTGAATTTAGACTTCACGTTTTCTTTAGGCGCGAGCGATTTGGGTTTCTAGGCCACCCAGCTAGATAGCTAGGTC